AAAAAAAAAGGAAAAAAGGACCATGCAAAAAATAAAGAAAAAAGAAAAAAAGAATGCACTTGGAAGCGCTGCTCCCTACCAGGATTGAACTAGTGACCTCACCATTTCGAATGTCTTACGAGTGGCGCGCTCTCCCACTGAGCTAAAGGAGCTTGCGAGCTGTGGCCGCTTTCATGTCAGTCCAGCGCGCATAGTGCATTATAAACTGTTGCGCGTTAGCCCGTGGACAGACCGCGTCGATGGTGCACGGACGCGTTGTCTTGGAGGTGGATTTGCTGCTTCCAAGGCTCGTTGGCTCCTTCCGTTTGGACGCCCCATTCGACCTTCTGGCGTTGACCTTGACCATCGTCCGCAGCCCACATCGGCAGCACCACCACCGCTGCCAGTCGAACGGACATCGTCTCGCCGTGTCCGCGCCATCCCAACACGGAGATCGACACGGTCTTGGTTGTCCATCCGCCCAGCAGTGCTGCTGGCATCCCATCCGAGCCACTTCTCCAATGCACAGCTCCACGCGGTCCGCCGCCGCCGCCACAAGGAGGTCCAACGGCGACTTTGACGACCAGGCCTGGGGCATCGAGTCTGACGACGAAGACTTTGTCACCCAGATCGCACCGCGCACAAACGTCCCTCGCAGCCTCAAATCCTCCTCCCGCTCCTCCTCCTATTCCAACACCAACCAGCCGCTTCCGCTTCCGCACTCCACTCACAACCACCACAAAGCTTCGCAACCGCCACATGCGTCCAGCGAATCGCATGGAGCCGCAGCGGCTGCTTCGAGCTCAACAGCCCCCATCGCATTGACCAACCGTCGCACCAGCTGGACCGTCGTCGATCGACAAAAGTCCAGTCACTCTACCACCACCACCACCACCACCAACGATCCCATCGTAGGCAGTCCTCCCACAGATCTCAGCGATGCCGTCGCCGCCGGCCTCGACCTCGACCGCGCCAACGACCACAGCGGAGAGAGCGCTAGCGGCAGCGATCGTGGCAGCCCCAGCGGCTTCCACCTCGTCGGCCACGACGATCCCAAAGCCAGCGGCAGCGAAACAGAGCATGTCGACCTCAACACTGGCAGGACCGTCAGACGCCCTTCCGGTGCAGCGCGCAAACCCAGCTCGGGCTCCACCGAGGCCGAGGTCCTGCGTCGCTCGTTGCGCAGCGACATGGACCAGCTCGTCCGAGACCCCGCACACGCCCTCACCCGCCTCTCGGCCCAATGGGCATCGTCGCATCAACCATCAAGCCCAAGCTCCGATCAGCCATCCGATCCCGCACAGACTCTCACAACCACTAGTAGACTCGGCGTCGCTCCTACTCCCACCGCTCACGAGTTCTCCTTCGACCCAATCGCCGCTGCCGGCGATGGCCTCATCATGACCGGGCCCAGCTTTGTCGATGCGGGCGCTGCCAACCGAGGGATCTCCAACTCTTCCTCGTACGCATCAAATATTACGAACGCAGACGTGAGCGTCGACTCCGACTCGACGGCAGCCGCCAACACCGCCAGCACCAGCAGCGCAGCCAAGGGCGACACCGACCGCTCCTCCAGCCTCTCCCGCAAACGCAGCGTCCGAAGCTCGCGGCGCAGACAGCAGCTTCTCAACTGCCTCTCCAAGCAGAGCGTCGACATGTCGCAGCTCCGCACCCTCGCCTGGGCCGGTGTGCCGGAAGAGCTGCGTCCCATGGTGTGGCAGCTGCTGCTCGGCTACCTTCCCGCCGTCGCCTCGGTGCGCACCTCCACCTTGTCGCGCAAACGAGCCGAGTACGTCGCAGGCGTGGAACTCGCGTTCGCCAAAGGCATCGCTGCGCTCGACCAGGCCATCTGGCACCAGATCCACATCGACGTGCCGCGCACCAATCCGGGCATCCGTCTCTGGCAGCGCCAAGCCACCCAGCGGGCGCTCGAACGCATCCTCTACGTATGGGCCATCCGCCATCCCGCAAGCGGATACGTTCAGGGCATCAACGATCTTGCCACGCCCTTCTTCGAGGTCTTCCTCAGCGCCTACATCGACTCGGATCCAGAGATGTTCGACGTAGCGCTGCTGCCACAAAAGGTGCTCGAGGCCATCGAGGCCGACACCTTCTGGTGCCTCTCCAAGCTGCTCGATGGCATCCAAGACAACTACATCTTTGCCCAGCCAGGCATCCAGCGCCAGGTACGTCGCCTGGGCGAGCTGGTCGCACGCATCGATGCGCCTCTGCATGCCCACCTGCACGACCAAGGCGTCGAGTACATGCAGTTCGCCTTCCGATGGATGAACTGCTTGCTCATGCGCGAGATGAGCGTGCGCAACATCATCCGCATGTGGGACACCTATCTCGCCGAGGGACCCGACGCCTTCTCCGACTTTCACCTGTACGTCTGCTCCGTCTTCCTGCACAAGTGGACGGACAAGCTGCGTACCATGGACTTCCAGGGCATCATCATGTTCCTCCAGTCGCTCCCCACCCAGAGCTGGTCGGACAAGGACGCAGAGATGCTGCTCAGCGAGGCGTTCATGTACAAGACCCTCTTTGGCAACACCGCCCACCTCAACAAGTAGCATCATCCGCATTGGCGCAATCCATGTTCGCAAAGCCCTTTGAGGGTCGTATGAAGTCGGTCCGAGGTGGAGCATTTTCTCGCAACTCGGAATTCGGAGAGTTGATTCGCCGCGAAGAACGGTGAATTTGAGGCTCGGATCTCTGCCGTGTCACTTTTGCTTTGTGCTTCTCTTCCTTACCTCATCTCGACCATTCTTCGCCAGCATCTTCTCAATGCTTTCCCATACAAGCCAGTATCCTCTGATACAGTGAGACTGGCGCGTCCTCCGGGCTCACTTTGCAGCAATGGCAGCGCTGGCCGCGGCGTCGGCGGCAGAGGCGTTGCCTGCATCACGTGGCCTGGCTCGTT